TCTCCCAGATTACTAACACTACTGTTTTGTAAAATAATAAAACAATTGAAACCTTTAACTTCGGTCAATACCTGGATTTATCAACCCGAGAAAAGATATATTGACCTCGGAATGCGTCCTCGGTTAATATATCTTTTCCCGGGTTGATAAATTCAGGTATTGACCTCAGCCAAAGGCTATAATTGAATAATATTTCTTTTTTGAATGCATTCATAATATGCAGTCTCTGAATTTGCGAGCTGAAGGCTGGACCGGTTTAGCATCTGTTAAATGTGCATAGTATCCTAGATAATACAGTATTGATGCGACATGAGTACACATACCCGATGTTCTCTTTCCTGCAGGACACACACAATAGTATGCCTTGACAGGATCCTCTGATGCGTGTAGGTCAAACTCTATCCAGACATTGTGATTTGCCTGCGACCTGTGGCGAGAGTGTATTTGGCCTCGGAGAAGGTCATCAGCATGTTGGTACACCCATATCTCATAATCACCACCATCCGTCTGATGTTCTGTGATATAGTCAGGTGCCAGCTTCAGCTGATATGTACCACAAGCCAAAATCGCATTGACCTGTAGTTATTGACGATTTATTTTGACATTGGTCATACAACATATTATCCTTAAGATGACACATTTACCCATACAATATATTATCCTTAAGATGACACATTCATGACATTTTGCGGTGTAGGATAATGGTTTAGATTAATATGATATGTTAGAAGTGAATAAATGACTTATAATAAAAACCAATTTTTTGTAACATATTTGAGTTCATAATTTGCAGCAGATCCTACTTTAAATAATATAATATTATTTGATAGCGTAAAACATTGTTTTGATAGTTTTTTGGACAAAAAAGTGAACCCTGTCGTACACCTTTGGAAGGCATCACTAAATAGTTCATAGCACAGGCCCTGGGGACCTTTTTCATTTTTTAAAAATATCTCATGGGTCGTGTCTTAGGGAGCTACAAATATAACCCAGTAATGGTTAAATTGCTTTGTGGGCAAAATTCTTTTGTTCCTGTAACAGGTCCTTTGGCCTGGAGCATCCTTCATGGTCAACGGGACTTCATTTTGTGCAAACAGAAGAGGCTGACTGAAGTTCATGACATTTTGCGGTGTAGGATAATGGTTTAGATTAATATGATATGTTAGAAGTGAATAAATGACTTATAATAAAAACCATCTTAGTTCAGATATTAATATATGTTCAAATTTAATCCAACAAAGATTCACAAAGATACAAAATGTGCAGAGCAGTTAGATCTACCAAAAAGACCCAAAAAAGAATAGCCTGTTTTAACAGCTAACAGAGTTTCTTATACTCCTTTTGATACACATATATAGTACCCAACAGGTTGAAAAATTCAAAATACATTTCTAGGTTAGCTATCAAGGCCTTTGAGCCTTGTGTTTATATAAGATTTGAAATGCATCTGTTAAACATTTATAAGGGTATGTAACACAGTTCCGTTCAAACGTATTCCATGATGTGCGTTAAAACCTTATATTTACGTTCTATTACATCCACTTTAATTATTTGAAATTAAGAAAAAAACACTTTTTAGCTCACCCGCCCAAAGGGCAAGTGAGCTTATGCCATGGTGCAGCGTCTGTCATCCGTCCGTCCGTCGTCCATCGTCCGTCTGTCCTGCGTCAACTTTTTACTTTAAACAACTTTTTCTCAATAACAAAAAGGCTCAGGGTTCTGATATAAGGCCTGTAGCATGCTGGGATGAAGGGCTACAAAGTTTGTTCAAATAAATTACCTTGACACACTTTCAGGGTCACAGGGGTCAAATATGCAAAAATCTTCAAACAACTTCTTCTCAATAACCAAAAGGCCCAGGGTACTGAAATTAGGCCTGTAGCATGCTGGGATGAAGGACTACCAAGTTTGTTCAAATGAATGACCTTGATCCACTTTTAACCTGATGTCCTTGTTCGACATTCAAGATCACAGGCGTCATATGTTTAAATCTTTTAATAGGTTCTTATGAATCAAACACTTATATTCTGCCTGTAGCTGTATTTTAGTCCACTTTAAATATTACAAGTATTAAGTATTAAGTATTACGAGATTAATACCAGGTGAGTGATGCAGGCCCATTAGGCCTCTTGTTTTCATGTTAAAAGCAAAACACGTCTAAGGTGACGAAATACACAGTTGAGCATTAAGGAGGCTCCACCCTTTCGCAATTAGCCAGCAGAATTCAATGAAAGTTTCACATCGTGGTAATGTCACTATGTAGGTATGATTTTATGTATATCAGAGCATTCCGATAAACTGGGGATTTTTTTGTAAAGATCAGAGGTCATGTAACGGTACAATGTAGTACTGTTAACATTACTACACACTTGCTTTTATTGGATCATGCGAACATTTTGAGTTGGTACTATTATCTAGAGGCACACAAATATAAATATAATTTGATTTCCACCAAGTGTGAACAGTAGGTGGACATTTATTAGAAGCCTACAAGTGACAGTCCGTACCTCTATTGTTGATAATGACTTTGAAATAAGAATGCCATCATGGTACATCCAAGGAGGAGGTAATACTTAAAAAAATTCTCAAGTTGATGTGAAAACAACACAGATTCAATTCAGTTTGATATTGCTTTTGTTTTCAGTTCTAGTGAACACACTTTAAATGAGTATGATAGCCAGGGATACTCGGAACGGTACTCACCACAGCCAGGCCAGGGCCAACCCAAACACAATGTGAGTAACGTTATGTATTATATTTTCCCTAAAAATGTGATAAAGACTGTGAAGTATGCACTTTATACTGAACAGCTTTAAATATAAATAGTATATTTACTGCTGAATTTTGCCATATTTTCAAATGCTCATTGAGCATTTTCCAAAATTTAGCTTTATTTATATTGTTTTTAAACAAGTAATATGACATATTCTTGAGCGCATACAGAAGCATAAAAATGAAGTAAATCTTATATATATATATTTTTTTTTTGCTCACCTGGTTAGAAGGACCATAGTGAGCTTATGCCATACTGCAGTGTCTGTCGTCCGTCAATCGTACTTGTCCTGGACAGCCTAGTAGATTTTGACTACATTTGGTCTAGAGCACCCTTAAGGGACTCAATTTTGTATAAATGGTGGGTGTGACCCCCTTGGGGGCAAAGGTTTGGAGCCTAAAAGGGGAAATAGAATTAAAACCTTATAAATTCTTCTTCTACCATAGGGATTAAGTGATTTAATCCTAATTTAGTCTGTAACATCCTTGGGCCAAGGGGACTCAATTTTGTATAAATGGTGGGTGTGGCCCCACTGGGGGCAGAGGGGCAGGGCCGAATAGGGGAAATATAGGTAAACCTTTAAAATCCTTCTTCTACCGTAGGGATTTAGGGATTTTATCCTAATATAGTCTGGAGCATCCTTGGGCCAAGGGTACTCAATTTTGTATAAAAAGTGAGTGTGGCTCCCATGGGGGCAGAGGGTTGCGGCCTAATAGGAGAAACATAGAAAATTCTTCAAAATTCATCTTCTTCTGCAGGAATGACAGAACTTTGTCCAAATTTAGTATGAAGCACCCTTGGGGTGAAGGGGAACCAATTTTGTATAAACGGTCCGGGGCAAAGAGGAGGGGCCCAATAAGGGATATAGAGGAATAGCTTTTATATCCTTTTTCTTCCGTTGGGATGAAGGTATTTTGACCAAATTTGACCAGTAGCATCCTATGGGGAAGGGAAATCAATTTTGTATAAATGGTTGGCCTGACCCCCCTGGGGCCTTAGCGATGGGCCAAATAGGGGTAATTTAGCAAATTCTTTAAAATTCTTCTTCTGTAGGAATGACAGGATTTTGTCCATATTTGGTCTAAAGTATCCTTTGGTGAAGGGGACTGAGTTTTGTATATACTGTGGGTCTGACCCCCCTGGGGCAGAGGGCAGGGGCCCAATAGGGGAAACAAAGCAAAATCTTCAAAATCCTCCTATCCTGCCGGAATGACAGGATTATGTCCACTTGCATATAAATATAACCCCTGACTAACCATGTAATACATGTACACTTCCAGCAACATCTGTCTATTTCAACTTCAATTTTGCTAGAATTTCTAGGTGAGCAATACAGGCCCTCTGGGCCTCTTGTTGCTCAAGATGTACATTGTAACTTTTGAGCAGTCATTTACTTTCTGATTGAAAAGATGAAAGCACATCAATTATAAGACACATGTCTAAATGTATGTAAAAGAAAGACAAGAAAAGCAACACTCTAAAACAATTTGAATGTAATAGCCATAGGCATAAATTGAAGATAAGAAATGAATGAATCAATCAATAACTCCATTGAAATATTCTAATTATTCAATTTCAAATGTTCCAGAATAGCCTGGACATTGTTGTGAACAAACACCCCTACTCCAGTGCGATGGAAAAAGAGCCATACTACAGACAACGCCCAGTGTCTGCAAACATCTTCCAAGAACTTTTGTATGGTAGTAATGATGACCTGCGCACAAGAACTGCCATAGTAAGGCCAACAGTCAAACGAACATCTTCCTACAAAGAGGCGGCAAGTGTGAGGACTCACTCTTCCATGTCAAAACACTCACGCCAACCAAGTGAGCAATCCTCTGGACGATTATCTTCTATTGACCGTAAACAGCTGAGTAACAGTTTAGATATAACAGATGGCATTGTACACAGTAGAAACTGTATAAACTATGATACCATCAGCCAAAGAACACAATCCCCACATGGGACATCACCATGGATACCAAGGTCAAGGTCGGAACAGTCGCTGAGTAGCGATCTGTCGTCAATGTCTTCTGACAATGTTGATGACGCCATGGGCACAGCGCTAATGTTAAAACTTGCAAAACTTTCATCCCGGGAAAAAGAGGATATTTTGTGTAACTTTGTATCTCCTGGGGATAGGGTTTTATACAGTGTGCCTCAGAAACCTCCACGTTATGGCAAGAAAATTGGTAAGTAGAAATTCATTTTTTAGGTCACCTGGCCCAAAGGGCCAAGTGAGCTTATGGCATGGTGCGGCATCAGTCGGGCGTCCGTCCGGCGTCAACTTTTTACTTTAAACAACTTCTTCTCAGTAACCAAAAGGCGTAGGGTGATGGTATTTGGCCAGAAGCATGCTTGGATGAAGGGCTACCAAGTTTTTCCAAATAAATGAGCTTCATCAATTTTCAAGGTCACAAGGGTCAAATATGTTAAAAACCTTTAAACAACTTCTTCTCAAAAACCAATTGGCCTTGGATGATGCTATTTGGCCAGTAACATGCTGGGATGAAAGGCTACCAAGTTTGTTCAAATAAATGACCATCTATTTTCAAGGTCACAGGGGTCAAATATGTTTAAAACAATTCTTCTCAATAACCAAGAAACCTAGGATGATGATATTTAGCAAGTAACTTGCTGGAATAAAGAGCTACCAATTTTTAGTCACCTGGCCCAAAGGGCCAAGTGAGCTTATGGCATGGTGTGACGTCTGTCTGTCCGTCCGTCCGTCTGTCCATTGTTCGTTGTCCGTCGTCGGTCCGACGTCAACCATTTAATTTAAACAACTTCCTCTCAATAACCAAAAGGCCTAGGGTACTGATATTTGGCCTATAGCATGCTGGGATGAAGGGCTACCAAGTAGTCTGTTCAAATGAATGACCTTGAACCACTTTCAACCTAATGTCGTCGTTTGACATGCAAGGTCACATGTGTCATATGTTTAAATCTTTTAATATGTTCTTATGAATCAAACACTGATATTCTGCCTGTAGCTGTATTTTAGTCCACTTTTAAGATTACAAGTATGAGATTAATACCAGGTGAGCGATTCAGGCCGATTGGGCCTCTTGTGTTCAAATGAATTACCTTGATGTATATTCAAGGTCACAGGGGTCAAATCTGTTTAAAATATTTATTCAACTTCTTCTGAATAACCAAGAGGCCTAGGGTTATGATATTTGGCAAGTAGCATGCTGCGATGAATGGCTACCAAGTTTGTTAAAATGAATGACCTTCGCCCATATTCAAGGTCACAGTCGTCATTATATGTTTAAATCTTTTAATTACTTTAAAATATTTTGCCAAAAACATGCTGTGTTGGAAGACTATAACTCTGTTCAACCTAATGTCCTAGTTCGACATTCAAGGTCACAGGCGTCATATGTTTAAATCTGTTAATAGGTTCTTATGAATCAAACACTGATATTCTGCCTGTAGCTGTTTTTAGTCCACTTTTAAAATGACAAGTGTGAGATTAATACCAGGTGAGCGATTCAGGCCCATTGGGCCTCTTGATTACAATCCTACTCATTAAGTACTTGTGTTGCATGGGTATAATTGTAAATCAATGGTGAAATGAACCAAGGTCAAATTACCGTAATGGTAATATAATCTGCTTTTCAACATATATAATGGTTAATATATTTCCCCCTAAAACATACCAAGCTTTCTATTATGTAATAGTCTTATTACAGGTTTTATTGAAATACAGCAAGATGATGTAACACATCAAGAAGGGGTATTCTGTTTTCAAAAAAACTTAATTTGTCACAGAATTTTAATTTGCTTGCTGAAGCTGTGAATTCTAATAATAGCTACCATGCTTATATTTCAGTTCCAAAGCCAAAGATATACACAGGCATTGTGAAGTATCGTGGCACCCTGGACAAACCTGGCTTTGACCCACGGATATTTTTGGGAGTGAGGCTTGATGATCCAGGTATGATAACTGTTATAGTTCTCCTTAAGACAAGCATCGAAAAAATACACAAACTTCTGTTCTTAAATTCACAAAACTACATACATCTTTATTAAATTAGAAATAAATTTTAGGATTATTCTTTGAATGTGACAGAATTTGGAGGATTAACCACCAGCCATTACTGTTGGCCATGGTGAACTTTAAAAAATGTTAATCAAACAAGATCATGACATGTATTACCATAGTCAAGCCCAATCATGGTTGGTAAGGATTTTGTCATGCACCCATTGTCTGGACTAGGGTTTTAGATGGTTGACTATCTTATTCAGAGGACCCTATTGGAAATAAGCTTTCTATGGCTTTAATGGGCTATCCCAGGGTAATTAAGGCAAAACATGTAAAGTATATATAAATAGTTATCAACTTTGTAATTAACCTACAATATATGCAATTGTTTTGTTGTGTATGTCTTTTCTGATTAAATAGTATCATTATTAAAAAAAAAGGTTAATGGTTTCACTATGATAATTTTTTTTTTTTTTTTTGTAGTTTCAGATATTTGTATTTTAATGAAATAATAGCTGCTTAACGTCAATTAAGGGCCTTAAAGTTTTGATAAAGGGCTCCATGATTTGTAGTGTTTTTCCAGCCTGTTGTTGATGCCCCTGTAATGTTGAAAATATTAAAATGACTTCTACACCTGGGTCAGTTTCGAGCGTTGAAAATGGAACAGGGGAGCCATGGAAAACTGACTCTTCTGTTGAAATTGGTCCCAATAAGAAATTCTTTTTGTCCTCACCTTGTCCGATAAGTACTGTAAACGTGGTTATTATACCCCCGCAACGAAGTTAGGGGGGGTATACTGGAATCACCCTGTCTGGATGTTGTCCGCAGTAACTTGTCCGGAAAACTCCTCCTTAACTAACAGGTGGATTTCATTGAAACTTCGCATGAATGATCAGTATCTTATGTAGTTGTGCACCTGCATTTTGCTTTGGGATTTTGACCCTTTTTGATGGAGTTATGTCCCTTTAACAAAAATATTATTTATCCTGCTAAATACGTTGAAGTATAACTCTTCAAATAATTAGTCAGCCATCCTGGCGAAAGCTCTAGTTTACGCTGGGTGAAAATTACGCGTTTTGAAGGTCAAAACTATATGCACGGAGATAATTTACGCTGTCGCTGTACGATGTTTACCCTGCAGATATATCTCCCTTGCTTTACAAAATGTGTACAGGTTAAAATACTAGTAGCTAAAGTACATGTTACGTATGCGTACTGACTGCTCATTGGACAGATAAAACTAAAGGTGAACTGTATTCATGTGTATGTGCGTGTCTTATACCAGCTGATCTCGTAATCAACTGGGACCAAACATGTACATTTAAGTGCTATTTACTAAAATCAAGCATGTTTTCCAAATAACAATGAACCTCGATGCACTCAGATTTATTTATGGCTTTCTCTGTGCCTTTATATATATTTTCAAATTTATTGTTCGTTAAAAACTTAAATTAATCAAGTAGTTTATTTCATTTGTTATTGTTAGCTCACCTGCCCGAAGGGCAAGTGAGCTTATGCCATGGTGCGGCCATGGCATAAGCCAATAACCAAAACGCCCAGGGTACTGATATTGGTCCTGTAGCATGCTGGGATGAAGGACTATCAAGTTTATTCAAATTAATGACCTTGACCAACTTTCAAGGTCACAGGGGTCAAATGTCGTAAAATCTTCAAGCGACTTCTTCTCAATAAGCAAAAGGGCCAGGGTACTGAAATTCAGCCTGTAGCATGCTGGGATAAAGGACTATTAAGTTTATTCAAATGAATGACCATGACCCACTTTCAAAGTCACAGGGGTCAAAATATGTTAGAATCTTCAAACAACTTCTTCTCAATAACCAAAAGGCCTAGGGTACTGATATTGGGCCTGTAGCATGCTGGGATGAAGGGCTACCAAGTTTGTTCAAATGAATGACCTTGACCAACTTTCATGGTCAAAGGGGTCAAATGTCTTAAAATCTCCAAACAACTTCTTCTCAATAACCAAAAAGCCCAGGGTACTGATATTGGGCCAGTAGCATGCTGGGTTGAAGGACTATTAAGTTTATTCAAATGAATGACCTTGATCAATTTTCAAGGTCAAAGGGGTCAAATGTCTTAAAATCTCCAAACGACTTCTTCTCAATAACCAAAAGGCCCAGGGTACTGATATTGGGCCGGTAGCATGCTGGAATNTTTTTTTTTTTTTTTTTGTAGTTTCAGATATTTGTATTTTAATGAAATAATAGCTGCTTAACGTCAATTAAGGGCCTTAAAGTTTTGATAAAGGGCTCCATGATTTGTAGTGTTTTTCCAGCCTGTTGTTGATGCCCCTGTAATGTTGAAAATATTAAAATGACTTCTACACCTGGGTCAGTTTCGAGCGTTGAAAATGGAACAGGGGAGCCATGGAAAACTGACTCTTCTGTTGAAATTGGTCCCAATAAGAAATTCTTTTTGTCCTCACCTTGTCCGATAAGTACTGTAAACGTGGTTATTATACCCCCGCAACGAAGTTAGGAGGGTATACTGGAATCGCCCTGTCTGTCTGTCTGTCTGTCTGTCTGTCTGTCGTCCACAGTAACTTGTCCGGAAAACTCCTCCTTAACTAACAGGTGGATTTCATTAAAACTTCGCATGAATGATCAGTATCTTATGTAGTTGTGCACCGGCATTTTGATTTGGGATTTTGACCCTTTTTGATGGAGTTATGTCCCTTTAACAAAAATATTATTTATCCTGCTAAATACGTTGAAGTATAACTCTTCAAATAATTAGTCAGCCATCCTGGCGAAAGCTCTAGTTTACGCTGGGTGAAAATTACGCGTTTTGAAGGTCAAAACTATATGCACGGGGATAATTTACGCTGTCGCTGTACGATGTTTACCCTGCAGATATATCTCCCTTGCTTTACAAAATGTGTACAGGTTAAAATACTAGTAGCTAAAGTACATGTTACGTATGCGTACTGACTGCTCATTGGACAGATAAAACTAAAGGTGAACTGTATTCATGTGTATGTGCGTGTCTTATACCAGCTGATCTCGTAATCAACTGGGACCAAACATGTACATTTAAGTGCTATTTACTAAAATCAAGCATGTTTTCCAAATAACAATGAACCTCGATGCACTCAGATTTATTTATGGCTTTCTCTGTGCCTTTATATATATTTTCAAATTTATTGTTCGTTAAAAACTTAAATTAATCAAGTAGTTTATTTCATTTGTTATTGTTAGCTCACCTGCCCGAAGGGCAAGTGAGCTTATGCCATGGTGCGGCCATGGCATAAGCCAATAACCAAAACGCCCAGGGTACTGATATTGGTCCTGTAGCATGCTGGGATGAAGGACTATCAAGTTTATTCAAATTAATGACCTTGACCAACTTTCAAGGTCACAGGGGTCAAATGTCGTAAAATCTTCAAGCGACTTCTTCTCAATAAGCAAAAGGGCCAGGGTACTGAAATTCGGCCTGTAGCATGCTGGGATAAAGGGCTACCAAGTTTGTTCAAATGAATGACATTGACCGTCTTTCAAGGTCAAAGGGGTCAAATGTCTTAAAATCTTCAAGCGACTTCTTCTCAATAA